CTGGGAAAAGTAGTTGAAAAATTTTGTATCTTTTTATGTACTTTGGATGTGTTTACATAAAGTGGTGGCTGTTTTTTTTTTTTTTTTTTTTTTTTCTGGTACTGGGAATTGAACTCACAACCTTGCACTTGCCAGGCAGGCACTGTGCTGCTAAGCTAAATCCCCAGCCCCTACTTTTTTTTTGCTGATTATTTGGTAAAACTGCCCCAAGATTGCCTGGTGTTGAAATATTTGAGGATGGCTGGAGCTTTGATTATGGTTTAACTTTGAATTATTCAATTACAGTTTTTTATTTTTGTTTAAACCAGGTTAGTCATTCATATTTTTCTAAATAATATTCTCTTTGCATTTATGATTTCAAATTTAATGGTTTTATATATTCCTTATATTATGGAAATTCTCAGACATATTCCATAGTAGAGAGAATATACTTAACACTCAGAATGAGCAATCATCATATATATATAGCCGAGTGTCCAAATTGGTTGCATTTATATTCATACTTGCTATTATCCCTACCATTGAAAGGATGTGAAACAAATCCTATACATTATGCTGTTTCATATTTAAGCATTTCAGTATCTATTTCTAAAAGATATATCCATAAACAAGATTTAATTACTGTTCTGAAACTTTACTTCCTAATTTAATCAAATGTTCAGTTGTTTTTCACATTTACTCAAACTGGCTTATTCATTTAAATTTTTTCCTGGAATCTGAGTCCAAATGAAATCTAGAGTTTGTCTTTGTTCTTTATGTCCATTAATTTGTAGATCCTTTCCCTCATGAAAAATATATACCTCTTTCCCTTATAATATTTTTTGTTAAAAACCAAACGATCTCTTATGTTCTGTCTAGCTTCACATGGCCTAAATTTTGCTAATTGACAAACTAATGTCTCTCCTTTGTATTTCTGTAATTGGTTGACATTTTATTAGGCCGAGTTTTTATCCCCTTGTTGTTTAGAATGACTGCAAATTTTCCAATTCCATCATTCCTTCTGAGTTTATTGCATGAAATCTCTCTTTATATGGATACCATTCATTGTCCACCATTCAGTAATGTTATTTTTTCTGTTCTCTCATAATACTTAAACTCTCATTGTTTCTATACTTTATTCAGTGTTATGTAACACATATCATTTATGTTTCTGTCTTTTTTTAAATTGATGACATCTATAAAATTAACTGTTGTATAAATATTTTCAAAAATACAGGCTTTTGTTAGTTGGCTGTGCTATCTCCCAGTTAATCCTTACTAAATTTATTCTTAACATTTGTGTTCTATTACTTTGTGTTTAGTTTTTTTTTGTTTTTTTTTTTCCTGGTACCAGCAACTGAACTCACGACCTTGCGCTTGCCAGGCAGGCACTGTGCTGCTGAGCTAAATCCACAGGCCCTTACTTTGTGTTTAATATGGCATTCTTTCTCTAACTTTATGATTTTTCATGTTTCAAATATTTCTGTTTATTCTATTCAGTCTTTTAAAAATCTATTAATATTCCTCTGGGTAATACTTGGGCTACCTTCCATAGATAATGGTAAAATGTTAAGTGTAGTGCTTTTGCAAGGTGAATATATCTCTGTATTATTTACGTTTTTGAATATATGTGCAAATACGAGGGTGAGATAAAAGATTTTTTAGAAGCATGTGAAGATAAACAGAGAAATGAACTTACTCAGAGGAGGTTTTGTGCTTTCACAGGTGTTTCACTTTGTTTTGCTAATATAAGAAATTTGAACATATTTAGGTGCTAGTCACTAAGTTTTTCATCTTATTTTCCCATCTCTTAGACATTTTAGGAGTCACTTTGCTTGATTTGTTTATATAAAATTCCATCCTAATATATTTTTTCATAATTAACCATATTTGAAAGCTCAAAACTACACTACCATTTTAACAGCACTTTAAAGATTCAATAAAGGTAACTTTTTTATTTTAAAGACAATAATAAAAACAATGAAACAATAAATTTCTAAAGTGAGGAGTACTACAAAATAATCATGGAAGTACTTTCACCATATAAGTATTAGCAATAAACACTCCTTAGTACCACGATTGCAGTATGTTACTGTGTAATTACCATACAAGTATAAGAAATATTTAATAAACTTTTTTAAACAAAGGAGAATAATAAACTCATGAGAAACACGTTTATGTGAGTTAAAATAGTTACATACAGCAGTTACAAGGCAGAAGCCCCAAAGACAAGAGTATAATACAGTATGTCAGAAACTTGTACTCTACCTAGACATTATTTAGTAGGCTTAGGTCTTTTCATTTGTTTGTTTTTTGACTGTTCATCTCACAGATAGGTAAGAGTTTGCCTAAAATGGGCTAGTCATCTTTGAGATTGACTCTTACACGGATCACTGTACTTTACAGATGCATTTGGTGTGCTTATTTTCTCATATAGATTGTAGTTTAATATTCACCTTCGTTTTGTAATCAAAAACCAGCTATTAAAACTTAAGACCATTTTAGTAAGTAATCCCTGCAACAAGTGTTCTACTCCTGCACTGATATTTCTACTATCTCTGAAATCTCTATCTAATCAATGAATTTATGGTCACTTCTTCACTCATCATGTCTCATATCCTAATATTTATCACATACTTAATCTCTATCTCATTCTTTTTTTACTTTCAGTGGTAGGGACTGAACTCAGGGCCTTTGCACTAAGCTACATCTCCAGTTGTCAATCGTTGTAGCTGTAGTTTTTTTTTTGTTTTTGTTTTTGGAACAGGATCTCACTAAGATGCTAAATTGCCCACGTTG